TTCGGTGTATCCGCATTCGATGGAAACCGGCAACTCTGGCAACTGAAACACTCGTGACCAAGCGCGTCTCTCCTAGCGTCCCAACACAACACAACACATTGCCAACTCCCGTTCCTTTGACCTGTTTCCATTGCTTAAGTGAATGTTGGAAACAAGTCGAAAAGGAGTTCCTTGACTTATTAATTGGCTGCACGTTTCCCTTACGGTTTTCAGGGTGAGACTTGCCAATGGGCGTTTCTAATTACTTAGAACCCCACCCGTTTCTCTGTGGTTTGCCCAACAGCTACCAGGAACCAGTACTGTTGTATAGAAACAACAGTTTCAGCAATGAGCAAGATCAGAAACACGCAAAATTACGTGTATCTAACTATGGCCCAATTACTGGCTTATCAGTGGACAAGGGTGAAGGGAGTTCGAAGAAGGATTGAGTCGGAGGCCAAATGAGAATGGGGCCGATGGGGCCCAAAAAGTACTTGTACATAATTTCTTGGATGTATAGCATAGGCGGAAAGGAATTGGGGGCCGAATCGGGCCCGCAATGTATAATAATTTTCTTGGTTGTTATTGTTGAGTGAAATGGAAAAAAAAATGATTTTTAAGGAAAACGCTCAGTAGACCTTCATTGCGTAAAACCTTGTGAGACAACCCGTTTGGGGCCGTCGGGGCCCGAAGTTAGGGACCAGGACAGTCTGGGTATTGGGCGTGATATTCTTCCACTAGCTCGGATGCGTGCTCAAGCTCCTCAGCTTTGAGCCACTGAATCTCGTCTGGAGTTCCGGCGTAGCCGTCCCAATGAACCAAGTACAAGAGCGGAGGCCGGCGGCGCTGATCGAGTTTGCTATCCAATATTTCTGCAATCTCGTATTCCAACTCGCCCTCAACCTCGATCGGAGGCGGTGGAGGTTGGATGCGTCCCGGAATGGTATTCGGATGTCCGAGCTCGAGTTGGGAAATGTGGAAGACAGGGTGAATTTGACGCATGTCTCGGGGAAGTTTAACGGTGAAGGAAGCGGGACCGGCTTGGCCAATGACTTCATAAGGACCATAGAATTGCTCGGAGAACTTCTTCGTAGGCCGGGCCGATCGGAATCCTTCGGCATTGATGTAGATTTTGTTCCCAATAGAGATTTTGGGATCAACGACTCTTCGTTTATCCACAGGACCTTGATAGCGCTTTTGAGCAGCAGCCATCTGGTCTCGGTGTCCTGGTGAAGAGAGTCGAGGTCTGTGACGAAATCTCGGGCCCGAGCGGAGGTGAGATCTCCCTCAGGACGGACGGTGACTGAAGTGTGATAGCCTTTGTTGGCGAAGAAGGGAGTAACGCCTGTAGTATCGTTCGGGGTGTTGTTGTAAGCGAATTCTCCGAGGGGAAGGAGCGGACACCAGTTGTCCTGCATGTAGTTGCAGTACATCCGGATGTATTGTTCCAGAGTCTGGTTGACACACTCGGTCTGTCCGTCGGCGAAAGGATGGTAGCTGGTGGTGAAGTGGAAATGCATATCAAGCGCTTCAGCCAAGGATCGGGAGAAATGGTTAACAAACTCGGAGCCCCGGTCGGAGGTGACATGACTCGGAACTCCGTGCTTGGAAAAGACGTGAAGGATGAATAGATGAGCCAACTCGGAGCCGTGAGTTTTCCGTGACAGGGAATGAAGAGTCCCATCTTGGAAAGGCGGTCGACAATAACAAGAATACTGGTACAGCCATCAGAGAGCGGTAATTGCTCGATGAAGTCCATGGAAATGGAATGCCAGGGCCGATTGGGGACCGGGAGTTGCTGAAGGAAGCCGTATGGCTTATGGTGGATGAATTTGCCACCTTTGCACGTAACACAAGCTCGGACGTAATCCTTGACAAAGGTATGGAGTCCGGGCCATACATTTTCTTGTCGCACCATGGCAAGTGTCTTGTTCTGTCCCCAATGATCAGCGAGTTTGTGATCATGTTTGTCGAGTAATACTCTAAGTCGGAGTTTGTCGGACTCCGGAACATAGATGCGTCCATCTTGATAGGGAAGGCCGTCGCAAGTAACCCACCAGGGGTTGGAGGTATCTTAAGGTGTCGGGAAGCGACGGGATCCGCAGGGAGTGCAGCTCGGATATCTGCGTGGAGTTGATTAACATCCATAACATGCGCTGCTTGGAGTACTGGCTTGTATAAGAACGTAGCTCAGAGTGACACATTAAGTTGATCTTGAGTAAAGACTGGATGAAAATTACATGGATTCGCTCTGGCATAGCCACTATCCCCCTCTTTAGGGTAGACGTCCCATCGTCTGGTGAGAGCATCGGGCTTGCCACTGAGCCGTCCCGGCCTGAACCGAAGGACAAAGTTGAAGGCGGAAAGAAGCTCGGACCACTGAGCTTGCCGGCACGTCAAGAGCTTGGTTGTAGCAAAATATTCCAAATTTTTGTGATCCGTGACCACGTCAATCGCGGGGACCGCACCCTCGAGGTACCGACGCCAGACACGGAACACTTCAAAGATAGCAAGCAGTTCCTTGTTGTGGGTGTCGTAGTTCAGCTTGGCGGCCGAGAGGGTCCGAGAATGAAAGGCCATCGGACGAATTTCTCCATCGGGCGAAACAATTGAGAGGATGGCCGCGATGGCATAGTCGGAGGCGTCGGATTCCAGAATTAACTGGGCGCCTGGGATCCAATGGGTCAGAATTGGAGCCGAAGTAAAAGCAAGGTTTAAGCGCATCAAACACTTTTTGGTACTCTGGGGACCACACCCAACGTTCGGACTTCCAGGTAAGTCGAGTGAGCGGTACCATGATATCCGAGTAATGGGCGATGAAGCGCCAATAGAAGTTGGCAAAGCCAAGGAATGACTGGACGTCCTTGACCTTTCGGGGTTCTGGCCAATCCCGAATAACCTTGACCTTGGACTCATCCATAGAAAGTCCGTTGGGCAAAAGGATGTAGCCCAGGAATTCCACCGTTTCGACGCTGAATGCACATTTCTTGAGCGAGGCAAAAAGCCCGGCTTTCCGAAGGCGCCGAAGCACTTCATGTACATGTTGTCGGTGTTCCGATGGATTTTCGGAATAAATGAGGATGTCGTCCAGATATACAACGACGTTAACTTCAAGGAGGCCCGAAAAAAGGTCGTTCATGAATCGCTGGAAAGCAGCAGGAGCGTTGGTCAGGCCCTCAGACATGACGAGCCACTCGAAAGAGCCATAGCGAGTTCGGAACGTGGTTTTCCACTGATCGCCGTCGGCAATCTGAACTAGGTGATAGGCGTGCTTAAGGTCAATTTTAGTGAAGACCTTCGCACTCTGACCAGCATCCAGCAGGTCGGAAATGAGGGGAAGTGGGTATCGCTCCTTCCGGGAGATGCGATTTAATGCCCGGAAGTCCATGCAAAGCCGAAGTTCGCCCGATTTCTTTTTTGACGAAGAGAATCGGAGCTCCGTGGGGTCACGAGGACTGTCAAATGAACCCGTTATTGAGGTTCTTTTCCAAGAATTCTCGAAGAGCCGCCAGCTCAAGCTGGGAGAGGGAATATATGGGCCGGGCGGCGGGGACTGCCCGTCCTCAAGTTCGATCTTGAGATCATATGGCCGATGGGGGGCTAAATTTTCTGACTCAGAGGCTGAGAAAACATCAGCAAAGTCCTGATACTCCGTCGGAATGCCGGATAAGTCTGGAGCGGATGTTGTATCGGACGATTTTCCTAATACCTCAGAGAGGCCTAGGTGGTAAAGTTGACTGCCTTTAGTGCGAAGTGCAGTAGCGAAGGCAGCTGCTCCTATAAAGGAGATCAACAGGGGTTTAGCATCGACCGGAGGAGCGACAGATGGCTCCACAATGGGAGGAATGGTGTCGGCGGAATCCGACGGACAGACTTCGGCCGGAGCCGAAGGAGGAATAGCAGAGCCAGGCGAGTGGAAAAAGATTTGGCCAGATGCCCAGGCAATCAACGGATTGTGTCGGGTCAGCCAATTGTATCCAAGCACAACAGAGCAAGCGGAATCCAGAGGTGTGACATATAATTCAACTGGAGTCGAGTCACCAGAGGGGAAAGAAACATCCATTAGGACATTCTCGGAAATCGTTGTTCCCGGAGATCCATCAAAGAGACGGAGACCGAGCGGAGGAATCGGAACACGAGTGAGATTATTGGTGGTACAGAGGACAGGGTCTATGAAACAATCGGACCGAGTCGACAAGAGCTCGGAAGTCCGACTGGATCTGCGGAGATCGTAAGATGGGGCATAAAGATTTTGGATCGGAAAGGGCTGAGGCATTAAGTCGTAAGGATTCCGCGCAATCAAGACTATTTTCACGACCCTCGGGTCGCACGGAGTTCCGAGAGTCGCTACTCAGTTTCCCGACTGTGCAGTGGGGGCCGGAGCCAACGCAGATGCCGAATCGGTAGTGGCGGCGCGTCCAGCAGCCGGCTTCTTCTTGGGACATTCATTCAATGTCCTTTACCTCCGCAAAGCAAGCAGAGGTTCTCAGCGAGCCGACAGGCTTTCTCGGCGGGAAACAATTTCCCATCTGAACCAAGGACCTTGGCGTACAGTTTTTCCGCAGATACTTTATTAGCTCATCTTAAGTTCCAGGCAGTCCAGACCACCAGAGGACTTAAGTGATAGAGAACTCAAGTGATTGCAACAAGTATTATATCAAACACAAAAACAAAATCCACTGAAGAGATTCAAACAGCTGACCTTCTGACTTCCAGAATAAGAAGATAGAAGGAGTTAACCACTACACCAGGAAGACTATACATGCAGGGCTCAATCAGACTGTCATTAGATTTCTTCCGTAAGTACTGCATATATATTGACTGACTTGACATTTCCAGTCATTTTTCACCATGTTTTTTATATAGCTTAATTGATTGAAACAAATGAATCTCAATTCAATCTCTGAATCATGTCTGGATAGTGGTTTGGCCACAGGACCTGAAGAGGCAAAATAAAGAAAGTGGAGAAGGTTTAGGCAATTATGAGGCTAATATTATATCTGCGTGTCCAAGACACTATATCCTTCCTGGTGTAGTGGTTAACACCTTCACCCCCTACTAGTGAAGAATTGGGAGGTCTGGTGTTCAAATCCCTTTGGTGGATTTGTTTTTCCTGTTTGGACAGGACTTAAGTGTTTGGACAGCACTTAAGTGCTTGGGGATTCAAGTGTTGCAGGACTTAAGTTCCAGGGGGGTGTGGTCCTCACATGTACAGGATGACCGCATGCAGGGCAGAACTTATGTGCGGCAGGACTTGAGTCCTTCTGTGGTTCAGACCAGCATTAACTTAAGTTGAGCTCCTTCAATTTCATAGCTCAAGCATGGGAAAAACAGTTAGAAATCCACAGTGTCACATAATTTCGAGTATTTTGTGTTTTCCGAAGAAATGATTGGATCAAAAAACTTTGTATGTAAGACATGCTCAAAAAGGTCAGACCTAGCTCTCAAAAAAATTCCCATGCTTAAACTGTACAGCCACTCTCCTCTCTCCGGACTGCACAGCAAGGATCTGAATTCAGATCTCAGCCTCAGATATATAGGCTTGCACCGCTTAGCGGAGTTTGAAATGGCTGTGGTGGGCAGGTGTGGCATGGCTTGCGGCATGGCACACCGCTGGCTCCTCAATTAAAATGGCATTTTAGTTAGCTACACCTTCTTAAGTATGTTAATAGACATAAATAGGCTGCAAACTCAATTTTATACATCTGATTTGGGACTTGACACAATGTAATCTTTAATCTAATCGATCAAAATTCAAATAAATGTCCACAAAATTTCAAGTATCGTGGCACGTTTTGCTCATGATTAAATGCAATCAAAAAGAATGCGAATAAATGATCATGAAATGAGTTGCAGAACTATAGATATATAGGCCCGTCCATATACCTGTCCAAACTTAACATTTTTGATTAAGTTTAGAGGAAAATGAAATGAGAAGTATGGATTCTCATTTAAAAGAGTCTTAAACTGAATAAAAAACTTCAGGTTTTGGACACCGCTAAACTCATCTGCAGACCATCTGCAGATGATCTGCAGATCATCGTCATTGTACAATATGAGGCAAATATACATCATGACCATCATCTGCAGATCATCTGCAGACTGTCTGCAGATGGTCTGCAGATGAGTTTATTTAGTACCCATATTTATACTTCGGATTCCCCCGCTAGTTTCCGTGCCCCGCGCTGAGCTTAAGGTTGCCCTTACAGTGTCTGAAACCTGAAGTTTTTTATTCAGTTTAAGATTCTTTTTAAATGAAAATCTATACTTCTCATTTTGTTTTCCTCTAAACTTAATTCAAAATGTTAAGTTTGGAGAGGCATATGGAAGGGCCTATATATCTATAGTTTTGCAACTCATTTCAAGATCATTTATTCGCATCCTTTATCATTGCATTTAATCATGAGCAAAATGTGCCGCAATACTTGAAATTTTGTGGACATTTATTTGAATTTTGATAGATTAGATTAAAGATTACATTGTGTCAAGTCCCAAATCAGATGTATAAAATTGAGTTTGCGGCCCATTTATGTCTATTAACATACTTAAGAAGGTGTAGCTAACTAAAATGCCATTTTAATTGAGGAGCCGGCGGTGTGATGGTGTGGCTTGTCCTCGCTTACACCAAACCTGCCCACTGTAAGTATTTCGCTGATTTCTCCACATTTGTTGCCCGCCGCTACCTCACTTCTCGATCAATGTGATGACAACCTTTCCACCAACGCCATCGTCAACATTGATGAGTTGACTGTGCCGGTTGATGTTTGACCTTCAACTTCGAATATCTACATATCACTGGTTGGTTTCTCAACTTGTGAGCTCAAAGACTTCTCTGATGGGCTTGGCTGAATATCTTGCACCGCTATTGGAGTTCAGCAGCGTGTGGCTTGGCTTGGTGTGTGTTTCAAGTTGCCTAAAACCAAATAATCCCACCAAGAGCTACCGTCAGTGTTTAGATGTCATCTCTTCCAGTAAGCTTCTCTGCATTTCAGTTGTGTTGGCTTCTAATCATCGAGCCTCCACTAAGCACTAAGGCTAAATGTTTACAGAAAATTCACACATCTCTGGTTAGACTTGATCCATCTCTCCATCGAGATGTTTGTTATCCACACGAGAGTGCCAAGTGATTGGCCTCGAGGTGCAATTTTTTTTTGTTCTCTTGCTCATACCCTCCTAAACTTTTCTCTAGTAAATTTAAATAACAGTGTAAAGCGGGAATGCTGGCTTCTGCGCCAAGAAGTTGGAGATCAGAGGTCTGCAAAGAAATAGTGTGATTGCACTTGAAGGCCAACATTGGTGGAACTAGAAGACCTGAGCTCGTGCTCCCGGTTGAAATTGCACCGAACATTGATCTGAGCAAGAATTATTGAGCTTGGAGGAAGATAACAAGCATTTGATTGAGCTCACATTTTCCAACGAAATATGTACTCATAGATGTCTTTCTGAGTCTCTGTGACAATAGTTTCACTGTGTTCATTGTCGCAAGCCACATCCCCGCCCAGTTTGATGACATCAGGCGGAATGGCTTGTGATGGCTTAAGATATGTTCAACCGTGCTCAAAACAAGGCAGAATCCATTTAAACCTCTTACAACATGATGTGAATGTTATACTGTTATTGTGGGAGGAGTTTTCTGACTTTCCAGATGCATAGCCTCCTCATTTTTGGTCGCAAGCCATGCCCTGCCCAGTTTGATGCCATCAGGCAGAATCACTGCATTTTGACAGGTTCTGGATGCACGTTAGCCGAGCATTGGCGAGGTCTGCACGAGGTCGGTCTGGAGCTTGGCAAATTCACTTAGGTTTGGCCTAGCTTTGGCGAGGCCCCCAAATCACTTCAGTCAACCCTTTTCCCAAACCCATAGGGTCTATTTGGTTCCAATACATAATGGGTCCTATGGTGGGTGAATTTGGGTGGACTTCCCATCTGGAGTGGGAAAGACCACGGGATATGGGGGAGGTCTGTAGGTGCCTATATGTTCAAATCTGGGCTTCCCACCTGACCAAATTGGGCTTCCCACTGTTGGTGTGGGCCTTCCCAGGGGGGTCACATCACGGGGGCCAATCAAATTGTGATGCTGCATGCAGTTCTGCACGTGTTGGGCTGCCAGTAGGTGAATCTGGAAGCCCTTGCATGCCTTAGTGTCTAGGGGGGTGCCATACGCGATGGTATGAATGTTTATACTCCATCAAATGTGTTGCCCCTGTTGATTACAGGCTAATGCTAGTAACATGGAGCAGGTATGGGCTTGCCTGTAGACCGCAGGCATCATGACAGCTGCAGGGCAAGGATGGTAGACAGTAGGGCTAGGCTGTAAATATGTGGTACAGTACAGGGGAGCACACAATGCTTCATCCATGCTTATAACCATGTGTAGGGTAACCATTCACAGCATACACCAGGGGTTCAGCAGATACCCACATACCCCGTGTGCCTGCAAGCTCATTGGTATCTTATATACTAGCCCATGCTAGACATTAGGGCTAGGCTGTAGCCATGCAGTACCAGGGAGCAGGCAATGCCTCATCCATGCTTATATCGATGTAGGGTACCCATACACAGCACAACAGAGGTTCAGCAGATGAGTTGTGCTATCTATCTGGGCTTGTAGATTGGGGTACTTGGCATATCGGATCTCAGGGCCTGTTGATGTGTCCATTAAAGCAATTGTTCATAGTATATCTTACGTAGTATATCACTCTATTAGAGTTCAGCAGCCTGTAATGACTACGATTTTTTACAGCCATACAGAATCCTAGTAGCAACCTGGTATTACCAAAAGTAACCGGGCACTTGTTTTTATTGGCACATAATAAAGTCTTTTGTCACTATCATGCATCAAAGCCTCATCTAGGATGTGTTTGGCCCCTGACATGCAATTTGACTGTGAGTTAGAAGCCTTCATCCTCATGTAATACAAGATTAGTACCCATGCCTTCGGCATGGAATCACTCCCATGGGCGGTCAGACACAGCTTGGTCCCAGTTCCATACAGACACACCAGAGTCTGAGCCCTCCGGCGCCACACTGTCGCTCGCGAACGCTTGCAGCGCGCGGCACCTCGGGGTTCCGAGAGCATGAGAAATTCATGTGACTTCACGTGGTTTCACGTGATCTCACGTGGTACCCCATGGTTTTCTGTCAATTTCCCGTGACTTCGTGTTTTCAAGTATAGGATCTATCAGATTTATGACACTGTCACACTTAATACGCAAAGTACAGGCACAGGATCTCCTGTTCCAGAGTGCCCAGTCACTTCTGTTCTGGAGTGCCCAGTTAATTCTGGTTCCTGAGTAAAGAGATACACCTGTTTTGGAGTGCCCGGTCACTTCTGGTAATCCTGAGTAATATGTACTCATATGTATTTCGGACATTCTCACTTGCAGTGTGGGCATTCCCAGTGCTGTTTGGGCATTCCCAGCCACAAGTGGAAATGCGCATGTCACGCCTCACCAATGGGGGAATTCCCAGACATCACTGGGAATGCCCATGTCACGCCTCACCGATGGGGGAATTCCCAGCCATCACTGGGAATGCCCATGTCACGCCTCACCGATGGGGGAATTCCCAGCCACCACTGGGAATGCCCATGTCACGCCTCAGCAGTGGGGGAATTCCCAGCCATCACTGGGAATGCCCATGTCACGCCTCACCAATGGGGGAATTCCCAGCCATCACTGGGAATGCCCATATCACACCTCACCAATGGGGGAATTCCCAGTCATCACTGGGAATGCCCTTGTCATGCCTCAGCAGTGGGGGAATTCCCAGTCAACTCACAATGGCCATTACTACCATATATGGAAGGTGTGGTCTTTCCCATTCCGTGAACTGGGAATGACCATCTCCCATTTATAGTAGTGCTGTGGTCCTTCCCATTTCCTTGATGGGAATGGCCATTCTTACCAGATATGGAAGGCTTGAGTTGAGTCAACAGTTGTGTTGGTCAACTTGAGTTACTGTCAGTCGAGTTGGTCGACTTGAGTCAACAGTCAAGTCGGTCGCTTGATTACCTGCTTGCCCCAGCTGTCTCTCCAGCAAAAATGGTCACCCTTTGCAAATGAATATGCAGGGGGAGCCATAGATTGCTTGCCCATTCCTCCC